GTGGCTTAGGAAGCCCCTGACTGAATGTGTCCAAATGCACTGAGGGAGCCTTTGTTTGCTTTCCCTGTTCTTACACTGTTTGCCTAAGTACGTGCTGCTGGCTGCATGAGGAGTAAAATACAAGGTTAAATAGATGTTTTGACTAACACAGTATGGCTCTTCTGCAATGAACAGTGTTGCTGCCAGTGCTGTATAGGTATCAGTCATATCAGATCTGGTGTGTAATTTAGCTTTCTGAAATGAAACACTTCTTTCTTGAAACTGCTGCTCTGAGCAATAAGACTGTTCTCCACAATCACTTTGCAAAGTGTCCAATACTTATTACATACATACATAAAAGACTGTTGAATCTCTGAAATGGGACTTCTAGTAGGCAATCATTAAAAACACTGGGTTTTAATACACTTTTTCTTGTGTATGTATTTATTTTATAATCAACCTGCATAAAATAATTACAAGTTTTGCCATGAAAATCAGTCTGCTTTCCAGGACTAAGGGTGTAGAGGGAAAGGGCAGTTTCTTCCCTTTCATTTACACCTTGAGGTTGCCAGTCACTTTTTATCACCTGCTTGTTTATTGTGAGAAACTGAATAAGCATTCAGTTCATCCACAGCATTTGGGATGTTATATTCCTTTATCACAACTCTCCCCTCTCAATTCTTCCAAGCTGTTGAAATGTCTCTTAGGCAAAAGGTATTGCACACTCTGAGAGCCTGTTCATTCTTTGGTACACCTTCCAAGTTGTTCTAGATCTTTTCTGAGATGGGAGTAGAAAGCAGGGGAATTAGTTCTCACTTAGCATGGAAGATGTGGGTTCATGATGGATTCATCATGGTGTGATTATTGCTTTGTATTTCCTTATCCTTTCTTCCCTGAAAAACTATTATGTCACTTTGCATGTTATTCTGATACACTTCCCAATGCTTTCCAAATTCTTTCCCTTCTTTAGAGACCATTGATTTGGGTTTAAAAAGAAGCAATTTTCAGCCTGACATATTTTGAAACAAAATCCAATCAAAAATTAGGTGGTCTTGTGGTCTTGTTTTCTCCAAGTGTAATTTTCAGGGAACAGGAAGGAGGTTGAGAAAGGTAACGTTGGTGGAACTCTCCTTCAACCACAGGAAACTAAATAGGCAACAGTAAAGCATTTTGAAAATGGCTTTCTTTGGCTTTCAGCTATGGAATTAACATGTTACAGATTTCAAGTCTAGTATAGAAAATTTCAGAAATTCAATTTCAGAAACTTTATACATTTCAATTTCAGAAATTAAGTGAGCAATAGTGAGGAATACAGACCTTTCAGAAAACATAAGGGACTTACTTTATATTTAGATATATGAGAAGTGACACTGTGAGAGCTCAGATAATATCCTGCATTCAAATGGAACAAAAATGGGGAAAAAAGTTCTGTCTCTGTAATATTGAGATGATTTCATAGGATTTCTGTGGGTGAGGTTCCACACTTAGCAAGTGATGTCTTGGGGAAAAAAAAAAATCTCAAAATCTCCCATAGCTATTGAAAGTCAGCTGTGGAAAAAAGTTTTAATTACTCCATTTCTAGTATAAAATACAGTGAGAGATAAAGGACTACAAATGCAGTGATAAGGTTTTTTTCTTAGGTTAGCTGAGAGTAAAGATCTCTTGGACAGGTTTCCTTTCTTCACAAACTTCCTTGAGACTTTTTCATCATACTGCTTTGTGCTGCTGTGGCATCACATGCATCAGCCTTTTGCCACCAACCAACATGATTGATGCTCAGTTTAATCCATCAATAGCCAGCTACTACAGGCATTACAATCAGAGCTGAAATGGGACAACAGTGAATTTTAAAATAAGAATCTTACATATAATACTCAAAGATACAACATTTTATTGTAGGAAAATGTATAAACAAACGCATTTGATGCATTTCAAACAAGTGTAGGCAAATGGATGTAACAAAATCCTCAAAGTGCAAATATAGTAATAAAATACAACAAAATGTACTACAACTTAGGGTTGTGAAGTGTGACTAAAAGAGCTGAATAGGATTTTTCCATCTGCTTTAGGATTTGAAATGTCTTTTTCCTTATACTCTCTAACTTTCTAACCTACAGAGTACTGCATAGATCAGTAGACTCATTCGTACTCAAGACCTCAAAGCACTGCATACAAATCATCTCCCTAGTTTAGATCAGAATTTTACTGCTGTTTGCTTTGCATGTTGTGTCATGTGTACCATGCAGCACAAGTGTGTAGCACTGAGGCACATCTAGAACCTGTGGAAATCAGGCCTGTACACTCTTAGCTCTTCTGGGGAGTTGTTCAACTTAAATGTTAAGTGGACTATTAAGTGGATCACATAAATCTAGATTTGCAGATGAGAGAGAATGACATTTAAGTTTGAATCAAACCTGGCAAAGCAGAGGTGATTTAATCTCTGGTCCCTCAGAAATCAGCTGGATCACTCCAAAAGTAGCAGGTTTGAAATAACTCTTTTGAAGTAACCAAGGGAACACAGGGAAACATTGTCCAAGTACTCCTGTAAATGTACATACTTCATGCTCAATGTTCATGAATTTATATGTTCTCTGAGAAAATAATTTCACCAACATGTTTATGTGTGGATTTCCTCTGTAGCTGAAGACCCTAATAACTTAGAAATTATAAGAAAAGGGCAAGTTAAACTGCAAAAGCCAAACAGTGCTGTGATTTTGCATGTAGCAGAGACACGAGGGTTAATATCATTGCAGCTAAGTATGATATCATGGACATAAAAGTTAGCATAAAAATCAATTTTTCCTTTCATAGCATTTTTTTCCAATTTACAGGCCAACAATGCAGAGGAATGTATCACCCTTTATTTTCTTCACAGACATTAGGAGCATTATCTCAGCTTTTGAGAAATACACTGCAAGCCAAAATCAACCATCACAAGACATGGCAAGTATATTCTGGCACTCACAAAGTTTTACTGAGTGACCGAGGGTACTTTCTGTCTTATTGAGAGGCACATAGATGAGAATAGGCAAAAATCCTGATACTTAATAATTACATCAGCTGATACCCTAGAAAGTATGGGGCAGAGCTGGAAACCCCCATCTTGTTCAAGCCTACAAAAAACAAAGTGACAGAGGAGCAAAGGAGCTTTTTTTTTTTCATGGTAGTTTAGAGTGATACAGGTATGGAATGAAGCTGACCACTCAGAATTAGTGGCCACATGTTACAGAGTGCATTAGAATACACTAGAAACTCTGCACCTCACTTTCCCCAGGCTGTTTTAACATCTAAAACAAAAAGCAACAGTATTTGAAAAGAAGGAAAAGCAGAGAAATGAAGATTAGGTCTGGCACAGAACCATTATTCATTTCCTTCTCCCCTATCATTTATGTTCACTTCTAGCCCCTACCTGCATGTAAGGCTGCCCTGGCTTTCCATAAGGGCACAGATCTGCAAGCCTAGATAAGATATTCATGACTGCCACACTTGGAGTCCTCCCTCCAGCACATGGAGGTTTAAATTAGTTTTTTTGGTTATACCTTGCTGTTTCCATTCTGTGTTCTCCTCCAGTCCATACTTATTCCTGTACTAGAACACACTCTCCAACCCACTGCTTTCCTATATATTCAATTAAAAAATTAAAACTTTGCTAACTTTTCTTTCTCTTAACTGGATATCAGCCTTGCTGCTTCATTTCCCAGACATCAAACCTTCTTTGGTGGTTTTGCTTCCCTGCTGTGTCTCTAATTTTTCCACATCAGAAACCTTACATTATTCTTTATTAGGAAGCATTTTTTCCAAGTCCCAAATGGTAGGAAACTGCCTCACTCTCTTTACTATTCAGCGGGAATTATTAATTAACTTTTTTTTTCAACTTCTCCCTTTAAATACATCCTGACAGCCTGTACATCATAAATGATGTTTTACCCCAGACTCCTCCAGTAATTATTCACAATTTTTTTTCATGAAGAAAGGAGAAAAATCTCTTGTCTGACAGTCTCTCCTGCAGTACAGGCAGGTACTCTAGTAAGTAAGGATGCTAATAAGATGTGCATACCATGGGCACACAGGAGAGCATGCAAAAGGTCTGAGCAAACAGCTACATAGCAGCAGTCCTTTCCAGCTCTTTGTAGCAGCCAACAGATTACCTGTGTTCATTGTGCATAAAGTCACAGCTTATACATTGGCAAATAAAATCCTGGTGTGGGATCAGAAAACATACGCTGCTAAACAAAGCTGGTTTATATTTTATATTTATATTTTTATATTTAAAGCTGTCCAGCTCTTGGACACAATAATATTTGATATTTAATATTTAAGTATATGCGGTAACATTTCTGCATCACACTAGAATGCACTTTTTTTTTTCATTCATCTCACTGTTCTGAATAAAGTGGGTTAACTCTGGAGATGGGCGGTTAGCCAACGCTGCCTCATTACCAGACTCATTTACCAGGCATTCATGTGTGGTAAAGAACATAATTTCATACACACCCCTGTGTATAATACTACCTGTTGCCATGGTTAGAGGCAAGAGCGCCCATACCACACTTTCTTACGGCATGAGAACCCCAGTTAGGTAGTCATGTTTGGCAAGCTTTCACTCCTCTTGCCACACAATCCTCTGCACTGTGTGAGCATACAAGAAATTTCACCACAGAGCTGGCCCATATAAACACATTTTCTTGTTCTGATGAGGTTCACTGCCAAAAATGCTTAGGGAATTAAAAACAATCTATCAGGTCCTGACTTTGGAAACACATCTTAACAGGCACTGAATTATGGGACCTGAGCATCCAGTGGCTAACTCATGGTGATACTTAGTGCTGGCATATTCCAATGAGAATTTGTCCCTCTCCTGATGTTTTAGGAACACCAAAGCTGCTGGTGTATTTGCTGTGTAGTTTGTAAATACTTTGAACAGATGTTAATGCAGCACATCTCAGCCCCTCACCCTCACAAAACAGGACTTGGCACTTTTCCCAGATGAAATGAATAGGGCACCAGTGGGTAACAGTTCGTCACTTTTACAATTCCTCTATTTTTAAATCTGCTAATACATGGAACTAGAATTCCATAAATCTCCATTAGACAGTAAAAATTACTCAAAGGAAATGCACATAGTAAATGAACATTCAGAAGGTCACTTAGTCTTCTGTGTTCAGGATGATAATCCTTCCTCTTGACTGGAATCTCCTTTGCCCCAGCTGTTTGTCTTCTGCAGGAATAAAAAAGGAAAAGTCAATTTTGAGGAACTCTGGCTAAGTGGTGTTTGCCCTGTTTCCTTCAGAGGCAACACAGGACGCATATGACTACTATGAGCAAGGCACTAGGGTTTTTATGAAAACCACTCCCCTCCTAGAAGTTGGAATGTGTGACTGAGGATAAGTTTGTGTAGGCTGCAATTGCAGTGACATACCTAGAGTTGCTAAAGCAGCTCATACTGCCAATAAAAACTTAACCATAGAATTATAGAACACACTGAGTTGGGAGGGACCCATTAGGATCATTAAGTCCAACTCTTAGCCCTGCACAGGACACCCCAAGAATCACACCATGTGCCTGAGAACATTGTCCAAACTTGATTGCACCAAGCTTCTTGAGCTTTGTGCTGTGAACACTTCCCCGGGGAGCCTGTTCAGTGTTCAGTCACCACCTGGGTGAAAAATCTTTTCCTGAGATCCAACCTAAAACTCTCCTGACTCAGATTCATGCTGTTTCCTTGAATCCTGATGAGAGTGAAGAGATCAGTACCTGCCCCTCTGCCCCTCCACTTCCCCTTGTGAAGATGTTGAACAGTGCAATGAGGTAATTTTAGAATTCTACAGTAAGCATTGAAAGAAAGCAGAAAGATCAGACTGTTTACAAGCATATTACACTACTCCACTTCAACAGCTGGGGTACATGGGGGATAACTGATGCTTTAATATCAAAATATTTATTGCATTTTGAGTGTTCTGATGGGAAAAAAAAGAAATAATATGAGAGCTTTTAAGAGAATATGGCTCCAACAGCATTACAGGATATTCTTCTTTTGTACTCTAAAGTGAGGATGACTGTTCAAAGCACCATGCAAGTGCATTTATCCAGCTTAGACCAACCTTAACTCTCTATTTGCTTTATCCATGCTTCTTCTGACACATCTATAATCAAGATGAAGTGGTGAAGTCAGGTGAATGTAATAAAACATCTACCACAGATTCACATGAAGCATAAACAGCACTCTAGAGTGGTACTGGGTACACTGTTCCAGCAGAGGTGCCAATATCTACCCAACAACAGATGCCAAGTGCTTTCTTGAAGTAAAGGTAGGCCAAAATACAATACAGCCCTCAGTAAAAAAATGCTACAGACTAGCAGTACACTTACACAGCGTAAGTACTACAGAGAAGCAGAAGTGACAGCACTTACAAAGCTCCTCAAACATGTTCTTATGACTTGAATGACCTTGGGTTCCTTTGAAGACATCCAGTGGGACGTTACACAAAACAAACAAACAACACCAGTCCCAATTCTACACTCCTGGAATTCTGACAGCACTCAAAAATCAGTCCAAAAGTAACATGTGGCAAGAGGGAGAAATCCTCATCTGATACAAATTAGCATAGTTCCATTTCTAGACTAGAATCAAGAGTAGTGATTCCATTTGTGTATTCTCAGACACGAGACTCTGAAAGATGAAATCTGACAGTCTTAAAAATAGTTTCTCTACAAACTAGTTTTAGTCTTTCATAAGGTAGGCTAGTAAAGTGAAGCTGTCCGGTGAATTTTGTTTCAGCAAGTTTTATTCAGCAAGTTTCTTACATGCCCAAAATCTTCATACCAGGTGGGGAAAGGGGATGTGTCTTCCATCTTCTAGCCTCCAACTCCGATCATAAGGTTATTCTCAATGTTAAATACTATTAACTTCCAAGTATTAATGCAAAGCTCATATTTAAACCTCTTCAAAATTAAATAACTGGGGTGGTTTTTTTACACTTTGTTGTTTTAAGTGAGCCACTTTAAAAAGAACTTTTTCTAAAAACAAAGCAGCAGCCAGTGTCACTGTTTGACTATCATTACCCTCCTAAATATACTGCTTTAATACAATAATACTGGAAAGTAGGCATATGAATGATCACGATAATGATTTGCCAAGCAAATGCCTTCAGTCATATTTTTTCTGGTGGAACTAAGCATTCTCTTATCATACAAACTTTCCTTGAAGTTGTGAATGGTCAGCAACTTATAGTTCAGAGTTCTGCTGCCTAAGGATAAGCATATGGTTAAAAACACCCTCCAAAACAATGCTGCCCTAAGGGACTTATGTGAATATATAGCAATAAACGAAGAGCATTTCACTGAATTAGCAAACCAAATACTCTAGTCTGGGTAGAGCCAGAACTCATTTTTTAAACTGAAGTGTCATTCATTCCCTCAAAAGGACACCACCCTGAAAGGGTCCTACTCACCCGGTGAAGCCGCTTCCGTGCAGCATGGCTTCACACAGGCTAGGTGACCTCTTTACATCAACCACGCCTCTAGGTGCAGGTCTCAGCACAAACCACCTCATGTGTATAAATACTTTTTTAAAACAAACAAAAAACAAAAACACAACCCCAACAAACAACAACAACAAACCCACGGAAAGAGCGTGGGAGTTAGGGCGTTGTGCCGAGGGCCTCCACCCAACAAACTACTCCGTCCTTTGAGCTTTTGACCTCTGGTCTCAGGGAAGAGCCCACGGGGAATAAGCGTCCTCACGGCCGCCCAGGGCCACAGCTCTCCTTCCTGGGGACGACCCCACAGCTCCGAGCCGGGCCCGCTCCCTGCCCGGCTGAATCCCACCCCGGAGGCCGGCAGCCCTGGGCGGAGCGCGGACAGCACCACACCCCCAGCCCAGCGTTCTGCGTAGCGGGCACGGGCTCAGCCCCGGGCATCCGCTCAGCCCCGCACCGGGGCGGGCTACCTGATAAAGGCAGGGCTGCCTGTGAAAGCAGGGCTGCCTGGCTCCGCCCCGCTGTGCTCCTTACTCCCTTCGCACCGCCGCGCCTGCCCGCAGAGCCTCTGGGCCGCGGTGGGAGGCGGAGATTTCTTGCCTGTCCTTCACGCCGGCAGGTGAAGGTACCCCCGGTGCTGGGGGGTTGTGGGCCGGACAGGACAAGACAACACAACTCAACACAAGGTAGGGTAGGGTAGGGTAGGGTAGGGTAGGGTGGTGTGCGGTGTGCGGTCACTCGGTGGGAGGACCGAGGGCCGTGGGCAGCCGGGCGCTGCGGGGCAGTGGTGTGTCCTGGGGAGGCGGCCTGAGGAGGGCGGTGAGCTGGGTGCTGCTGCTTGTGGGCTTTCTTATGGTGCTGGTTGGGTTGGTAGGCGCGCTGTGCCAAGCCAGAGTAAGGTTATCCAGCATCCCCCGGGGGCTGAAGAATTTACTGTTGCGCTTGGGCAGCCTTAGCTACAGGACTGTTGTACTTTTGTGGGATCGCAACTCTCCCGGTACAGTGAGAAAAATGTATCCTTGCCAAACGCCGCTCAGGTGATTGCGTGATCAACCTTTAGTTCTTCGACTAGCAAGGGTGGTGTGTGTTCAGCTGCCAGCCCCAACCCTGGCCCTGTGATTCGTGAGCAGTGATGGTCTTTAAGACCCTCTCAGGTCTGCAAGAGCCTGTCGGTGGTGAGTGTTAGCATATACCAACAAGCCTTTGCTGGCCAAATTATCTACACTCGAAATCTGTCTGATAAAATGTGGCAGCAGCTCTCTGGCCACAGAAAGAAACAACTTTCCCAGGCATTGTCCTGGGGGAAAGTCTGTGAGAAGATCAGAGAAAAGAATGAGAAACAATTCTTACTTTCACTTGCTGCACCTGTTGTTGTGAACATGTGGAATGTGTTGTGGAGATTTGTTTAACAAAGGGTGGTTTCTTAATTAGCCAGTGGTGATGGTGTTTGGATTGGTCGACCAATTAGGTCCAGGTGTATTGTAACTGTCTATAAAAGCAATGGGTTTCTTAATAATTATATATATAATAAAGAGATTGACTAGCCTTCTGAGTATCATGGAATCAATGCTAATTATTACCGGGCTAGGGGCCTGCAACCACAATAAAATGTTGTAGAACATCTGATATTTCTCTACTGCATAAAAGCCCTCCACACTTACATCTCTGTGGACATAGGCATACTAAAAAAACAATACAAGACATCAGAAGTGATTTGAGATTTTATATGTGCCAAAGGCCCCCTTGGTTAATTAAGGGGGGTTAATTGTAAATACATCCCTGATCACTTTAGTTGACAAACCAAAATCAGCCAGGTGAGCGGCAAATTTAATTGTCTGTATGGATATGCTTGGTTACAGTAGCTGGTTTAATTAGCAATACTGATGCATTGAGTGAGATTGGAGGCCCAGTCAGATTTGAGTTAGGGGAGAGATGTGTCCGTGGAAATTAAGCATCTTGTTGAAGGATGTAAAGTTGGTCTCCTAATAGGAAGTCTCCTGTGGTCCGCATGCATACACAACTCTGTTTCATTAAGTGAAAGGTATACTTTTCTGAAAGATCTAATGTGCCTCTGACCTATATAAGCTTAATTCTTGCTTAAAGAATTACTGTCATAAATTTTCAACTGAGTTCAAATTGTGTATTGCCTCTGAAGGCAATTGCCTCACTTGGTTTTCCATAGGGATTAACTTTAGCATCTTTATCTATGCCAGAGATACCAGTCTCCTTTCATGCAAATGCAGGGTCTTATGTTAAGTGCATTAAATTAGTGCAATCAAGTTAAATTCAGAAGCTGAATTTATTTTAAAGACTTATTTCTTCTGTTTTAGACTCAACAAAGAACTTGGGCTTCCAAAAACTTGAACTTTTTTATGTGCATGAAATTTAATAACATTTTTCCTTTATAACTATATTTTTGCTTAGAACTGTAATATCTGTATAGATAAGAGAGCCTATTACAGGAGATGCTCTTATTGGCTCTAGAAAAACGTTTCAGTGCTGTTTTGGTATTCGTTTCACTTCTTACTGGAGTTACTGCCTCTGCGCACATTTTGTCACATTTTAATGAGAATGAAGAATAGAAAGTACTCAATAGAAAGCATTCACCCCATGCCTTTGCCAGAAAGAACTTGTTTTCCTACCCACTATGTCTGTGGCAAATGTTTTTTCTGTTATCAGAACAGTTTTAAGATGTTCCAATGTTTCTGCCAGAAAATTTCCTGAAATAACTAGCTCTGCTCTAGCAGAGGCCTGTTTCTTTTTAAGACTGGCCTAGTTTCCCCATGTAGAAAACCTGAGATTGATAGTAACACGTGTATGTTCACAATCTCAATTTCATGAATTTTGCTCAGAGTATCAGAAACCTAAGTTACTTATCTTCTGGCACTTGTCAAACATGATTACCTACCTATACACATGGATAGCAAAGTTAACTAAGAGATGTAATCAGACTGGGTATGTCTAAAAGTTGCTAAATGTCTGAAAGTGCTAAAGGTTGAAGTGTAGGTGCCAGCATGCTCTACATTTAGTTGAGAAAGAAGATGTTATTGTTTCATAATGTTGTTAGTCAAAGATTAAAACCTGTTTTAAGCAAGGATTAATTTCTTGCACAGCTTTTGTATGCTGGAAAATGAAATAATATTCCTCCAAGGATTTAAGGCCTGCTTGGTGTTGGCTTTACTGGGATGTGTACAGATTGTGAGCTTAAACATGTACCTGAGATGGTATGATTCAAGCCTATGACATTTGCTTAATGCAGGGAGGTGAAAAGAAGAAACTCAGCAGCTTTGCAGTGCATTCTCTTAGAGCTGTGTTCAACTGCAGAAGCAGGCTCTCCTCAGTAATGGTACTACAGGTAGTTGAAAAGTCAGTAGTGACACACAAGTATTTACCTAGTGTGCTTTGGAGATTTACAAGCATATTGTCTTCTGAAGCTCCTTATACTCATGTTTTTTTAGCATAATTGGGACTGTGACTTGTTCTGCATATGATTTCATGGTGACAGGGAGTGCCTACGAAGCAAAAAACATTATGGTCCTAAAAGGAGAATTTCTCCTGACCTGTAGTACTAGTGTGTGAGCACTGAAGTTCTTTGATCAAACCATAAATTTTGATTTGTGTCATGCATTTCTGTTTGAGATGCTTAATGGCCAGATTTTTATTAGTAGTAGTAGTATGTATTTATTTATTTTAGGTTTTTGTCCACATTCTGTCAGAGCAGAGAATGAAACCTATGGTATGAGGGATGGGGAATTTCTAAAGTAGATGAGGGCAGGTGTTTCCTATTGCTGCTGAATGGTAAATGAATTGTATACTGCATCCTAGAGGAACGTGGAAGCAACCTGGAGACAGAAACAGGACAAATTGATTAGATATCCAGGTGTATGCCTATATATTTCTTTGAAACAGTACTCAAAAGCAGGGTAGAGAGTATTTAGAATGGATCTGAAAATGTTTTTGCAATATTGATGTTTGCGTTTTCTCTATGGTTTACTCTATCTGGTAAATGTTTTGGGTTTTGGGTTTTTTTAATCAGATATCTGAAGAAATAGCCTGAAGATGAACTTCTTCCTGGAAACATTAAAAGTGATTGTACTTCTTGTTTACTACTTACTGGAGTCACTGGTACTCTTGGTTGTTCCTGGACGGAAGAAGAATGTTAGTGGTGAAATCATATTAATAACAGGAGCGGGAAGTGGCATTGGAAGACTCTTAGCGGTGAAGTTTGCCAGCCTTGGAGCCACGCTGGTCCTCTGGGATATTAATCAAGAGGGGCTCAACTGCACAGTAAGACTGGCCAAGGAAAAAGGAGCAGCAAGAGTACACTCTTATGTCTGTGACTGTAGCAAAAGACAGGATATCTACAGAGTGGCTGACCAGGTAAAGTATATTTGTGGCTTTGGCATTATTCCAAGATGAGTGCAAGCATGGGTGTAAGATGCATGAGTAAGTTTTCTAGTGGATTCAAAGCAAGAGATTAAAGTTAATTAATTCTGAATGTATTGCTTCCTATCTATTTCAAGAATTCTTGTTTTTAGAGTTGACTTGTGTATCTCTACTCCTTAAAAAATAAAAAAGAGCTGGCTCTTTTTTTCAGTAGCTCATTTTAACCGAGTAGCTTCTTATTTATTCATTCAATGACTGAGCAGGCACTTAATCGTGAAGTGCGGAAAATCAATTTATTGAAGCTAAAGCAGTATTTCAAGTTCTGGCAGCCTTTTACCAAAAGACCATACATTGTAAAAAGGATTAACTGCTTAAACAATTTTCAAATAATTCCATTGCTGTGAAGAGATTTTGGCAGACTTACTTTATCTGAATTAATAAATGTATCTTGATGTCTTATATATTTTATTTCTTTCTTTCATTTCTGAAGAGCTTTGTAAACATAGCATGTGGTTAAATAATTTGGGTAGACTAGCAGTATTGCCAAAAGCTAAAATTGTTAAACAGTTTCAAGTCTAAGAACCTGTTCTCATTCACTTAAAATCTGCTAAACTTAACTGTTGAACTAAGAGATTTCCACTGTGAGTCTTGCTTGGGGATGATTTTTTTTAGCAAAAAGTTCAGCTGTCTTCAGGAACATCTTTTGGTTGAAATAATGTTTTGGTGGTCTTTAAGAAGCTCCAATTTTCTGTCTTTTTCTGTCTGTGCAAAAATGACTGTGATAGGCTTTCTGATACATGAAGCTTGTGTATGAATTGCAGCTTGCTAGAGGCTGGTGCTATTGATTTTGTATGCCAGTAATGCTGTTCAGCTTTGGTCCCCCTTGCAGCTGTTACACCAGGTGAGCTGGACATCTGCTGTCCTTGCAAAGAAGTTGCATGTCTCTCCATAGTCCGGTAGCTGTGCTTTCTGCTGAACTGGGAGAGCTGGAGGAAGAATATAGTAGTGTGAAGGATACTGGAATGGAGCAGATGAAAATTAACCGTTGGGTTTGAGAACTTGAATTGAGGGCTAGCACTCTGGGCCCATGGAGAAAAGCAGTGGCTGAGCCACGCTGGTGAAATTTGAAAAAGAGAACTGGGTGTAGATCTGTGTGACATGGGTTCAGGATGATGCAAACAGAGCTTGCAGGAACAAAGAAGTTGCAGTAGGGTCCAGTGTGTGGTCCTTCACTTAAAACCTTTTGTCAGCAGTTCAGCAAGTGTCAGATTCACTAATAATCCTCATGCTAATCTGCATAGAAGAAAACACCTTACTACCATTATTTCAGAAATGTCATGTCCTGCTGATGATGTAGAATCATCCAATCTTATCAGTTACAAAAACACTAGTATAGGTGGTGCTTGGTGCCACTGCTTAATTCATGCAGCGTAGTAAACTTTGGTTCTTAGTAATCATATCTTTGGGAGATATGACAGCATGGTTCCAGGTCCTTTTTCCTCTTCTGGTGATTCAGCTTTATGCAGACTTGGAGTTTTGCAAGACTATGGTCTTGCAAACTAAATTTATGCTGGTAGGGCAGGATATGTTTGAAAATTTTGCTCCCAATGAAACAATTTTATAGCCAAAATGAAATGTATGTGGATCTTTAATATGTCTTTCATCAGCCACACAGAGACAGCATGAAAAAGTTACTTCAGTAGGAAGAAACATGAAGAGCCTTTTGGTTATCAGGTCATTGTTTCTTTACTGTTCCAACAGATAAAGGACAGCCTTTTGGCTATTAAAACCTATAGCTTAAAATTTATTTCAAATGTCTCTGTTCCAGAAGTACCCAACTCCTAAAGCTTAGTTAAAAAAAATAGACAAGATTAGAGCAATTTTAAGGAATACAAGGAAGTTAAGCTAGAATAAAGGATAGGTGATAAATTATTCTTTAATTCTTCACTGTGTTACCCATTTCATTTTTCGCAGGTAGCTCAGGTCAATGACTTGTATCTCAGATTCTATATTAAATATTTTCATTCTCCTTTGGAGAGCTGCCATAATATCTTGCAATCAGCTAGCCTACATTGTTCTCTCAAATGGGTCTGTTCATGAAGGCTCTCAGTCTGGAGCTAAAATGAAAACTGTACCTCCTCTTACTGAGTTTAATGTATACGTATTATTTTTTAGCCAACTTAATTTCTGGGGTAGAGCGTACCAGATTCTAGTCCAGAATTACTCTTTAGTTTTAAGATGTGTTTATTGTAGAAAAATACTTGTTGTATTAGTTAAGCTTTCTCCATTAAAGACTTATCTGGAACATTTATCCTCGGAAACAGAGGTGCTGAAAGCAAAGCTTGTGTGGAGCTGTTGAGCTCCACAAATCTGAAGAAAATCTATTTTAGAGCTCACATTTAAAAAGGAATCAGGTGAGACTTCAAGAACCTGAGGTGTTTGGATCCATAACAAGTTCAACTTATTTAAGTGTGTAATATTTCTGTTGCGTTTTCATAAATAATACTTGGAAAGAATGTTTGGATTTATTGCATGCTCTCTTGATGCTTTTTGTTTTAGGTTAAAAAAGAAGTTGGTGATGTCAGCATCTTGATCAACAATGCTGGTATTGTAGTTGGGAAGAGATTTCTTGATTCTCCAGATTCACTTGTAGAAAAAACCATGGAAGTGAACACAATAGCACACTTCTGGGTAAAATCTGTATTTTGCATATATATATACTAAGACATACTTTTAACATGTTTTCAATGTATTTTGCCTTTTAGAATTGAGGAAAACATATAGACCTCTTTGGAAGTTCAGTCAGAAATGATACAAGAAATTATTTATTTGCTCTGGAGTGGGTAAAATTTTTTTTAAAAGCGTGGAAGAATGGATTCTTTGGGAATCTCTAGTGTAAGCAGGTGGAAGCACTTCACATTTAGAAATTCTCTTAAGAGCTGAAGTCCACCATCTGCTAAATTCTGAGGCTAGTCATAAATTAGTGTCTCATTATTAACTGACATGAAGCAGGCCCATGTTAATAGTTACTGCCCCGAGAAATGTTCAATTCTACTTCAGTTCTTCTGTTCTGTTAATGTTCTAGTTGTTCTATGGCTGTGATAATTCCAGTAACACGACATGTTCTGATAATCCTCTTGATAATAAGTGAAGCTTTTGTCCAGAATGAGTAACCTGGTGTGCTTTTTCTTCCTTTCAGTGAAGGCCGGTCACCTATATGGTGTTTCTATCATAAAGAATTGTATAGAAAATATTCAATCATGTGTCAGTTTATTTAGAAATAAATTTAATCATAAAGATTTAATGAATTTAATGGAAGGAAATCTTTGCCATTTCACAAAATCTGCAGTGAGCACTTAATTCTCGTTTGAAAGAAACTTCATGACTAGATTAAGCCATATATTTAGCTTTCATCAAGTTACCATCTGCCTTGGGTAGTACAGGTAGGGGGTAGGAACTCGCCATTTAAATAGTTGAAGGTTAGAGTTCAAACAACATGCGGTTTAAGCTCCACATACATACACACACACATCTTTCCATAATGGAAGGGGAAAGCTTATTTGAACTGTTGGGAGAATTTCTCCAAAACCATCAAACACCTTCAAAATATTATGGCGTGTAGCTTACTTAGTAAAATGTTACATTGCAGCTCTGATTTACTTTGCAGACTTACAAAGCCTTCCTCCCAGCAATGATTGCTGCTAACCACGGACACTTGGTTAGCATAGCAAGCGGTGCAGGCCTGTGTGGAACCAGTCAGGTTGCAGGTAGTGTATTAAAGAGGATTAAAGCTAATATTAATTTAAGTAATTAATTTGATTTTAAACTGTGCAATCAATATCTATGGGGGGGGAAAAAAACTAACTTATTTTGAATTTTTGGATCTTTCCATATAGTTAAAGCCAGTAGTCGGACTTTCAAAACAGCTGACTTTAAACAGATCATTTCTTTACAAAGTGTTTTCCAGAAGCTCAGCAGTGCTGTGAAACAGTTTTTTCTGCCAAGGCAGAAGGATCTAGAAGCCATATAGAGCTTTGGAAGCTGAGAATCTCAATGTTATTAAAATTTACTTGCAGGTTTCTGATAGGGGAGAGGCCACTTTAGATATAGAGGGACCTCAGAAGGCATTTCTGCAATATGTATACAAAGAGGGCAGAACATGAAATAAGGTGACATAGCAGTAAAAGAAATCTAGCTCCCAGAGAGTTTCAAGTCGAAACCACATTAGGGAGTCTTGAAAAGGTGAGTTTGAGGCATAATAAGTGAATGCATGGATTTAAAGAAAAAATGGTATGAAAAACAATTTCATTTACCATTGTTCGTTAGAGAGTGAAAAAACGGTAGCAGACATGTCATGAGAAACTCTCTGTCTGCCAGTCTAGAACAAAGGTTGATTTAGGAGAGGAAAGAAGAGGAATGAATCAGATCAAAAGCAAATTTTAACCTAATCCTGAAAACCATTCCTATTCTGATGTGAAGTGGTTTAGTATTTGACAGTAAAGTTTAATTTTTAAATTTAAATATTAACTGCAATTAATGTTTTATTTTACAGATTACTGTGCAAGTAAATTTGCAGCAATAGGTTTTGCAGAGTCAATTGATATAGAGATGAGAAATCTGGGAAAGACTGGTGTTAAAACCACAATTGTGTGTCCTTACGTGATAAACACGGGAATGTTTGATGGTGTTAAATCCAAGTAAGTAAACTCTTGTGATGTTTTTATGAAAGTTGCATTTTTAGCATGTTATAAATCCCTATTTCCTTTATGAAAATCATGAGCCAGGCTTTTTTCTGCTTGTATTATTTTTAAGGGTTCAGATGGGTGTTGTCCCGTGACTGGGCAACTCAAAAGGCCTAGGTACTTTAGTATTCATTTAAGGTGAAAAGTGAAACATAATTGGTGTCCTTTCCTTTGCAGAAGCCAGATGCTCCATTTGTCCTCTCTGGTTTCTAAACCCTCATTCTCGTCCTGAAATTGATGGTATAGCTTTGCTCAGTATGCACGTATAATGACAAAGTTTGGGAGCCAAATAAAAGTCTGGTGTGTCTTAGTATGAGGTCTCTAGTTTTGTCTTATAGAGGTTATACAGGGGGGAATAATCATGTCCACTCACTTTAACATAATGAAGATTCTCTTGTTCATAGGACTTGTGGTATTTATTTCTTTTTTTAGTTGGATAACTGTAAAATTGAGACTTTTTTGAAGAAAATGTGCATCCAAAGCAATTTGTATGATAGCAATAAATACTCTCTTTTTTAGGTGGCCACGTCTGCTTCCTGTTCTGGAGCCAGAGTATGTGGCCGAGAGGATAATCAGGGCTGTTCGGCAGAACCAAGAAGTCCTGTTTATACCACGCATTGTTTATATTTTCTATTTTTTAAGAAGGTAAGTTATGTTTCTTTTCCCCTCTCTCTTTTCTGTTTGGGGATGCTTAAAGAATAAAAGAAGCTTCTACTTGCTAGTTTGAATTTTCATTAAGTTATGCACATTTTTGGAAGGGTTTTGTTTGTTTGTTTATTTGTTTCTGTGGGTTTAGTCTACCCTTGGGCCACAGAACAATGGCAGAACTATCTAACTGTGCCTTGCTGACTCCACTGGGGTGCAGTTTTACTGGGGGCTGTAGAGATCACCTGCTTCTCCATTACTGCATGTCGGAGAATTATTGGTTGGAAAAGACCTCTAAGATCACTAAGTTCAACTGTAAATCCATCTGGTGTCTTGCTCTAGCATTTGGGCACTTTTGACTCTGTTGCAAGCCAGGTTGGAATACTGATCTGTCTATAACCCAGGCTGCCAAATGAGTGTAAAGGATATTTTGAGAGGACCAGTGGGTCTATATTCCAAAGAGTATACTGCCTTTGCCAGTATTAGCCAGGTTAAACTAATTCTGTGATAAAACTGCACAACTCTTCTGATATCACTTTGTTTCTTTTTGTCTTCTTCTTCCATGTCCCTACCTTACAGCTTCCTGCCAGTGAAAGCAACAATTCTCTTTTTAGACTACTTTGGACTCAGTGATTTAATGAATACCTTCAAAGGTCGACCAAAGAAGGAGTGAAAAATTACAAAATTCAGAGACAAGCAGCTCTAAAGTCGGTGTTGAAGTTAGTTAAAGGTGGTGGTGGGTAAAGTTCACTTCACTAGCAGCTGTGAACTTTGGGTGCCTCATTTTGCAATAGTAACAAGATTTTTAAGAGTTGCTTTTTAACTGGCTCTTAATCAACAGCTTTCATCTGAGCTATTGTTTTTGAATTGTTTTCTTTTCACCTGATTATGAAAATACATTAATTGAACTTAGTTGCTTTGGCTTATAATGCCTTAAAATGGATCCTGCATCACAAACCAATAACTGGCAACTTTGGGGGCAAGAAAAGACCAAGAAACCACATGTATTTAGCAGGTATCCTGAAAAGCCTTTAGTGGATCTGACTTCTTGCTGCCATTCTGTGATCCACGAGGATGATCTGTACTGCTGGTGCCGTTACCATTCCTGGTAAGCTGAGGAATTCAAGAATTTCCTTAAACAACAGATTCTAACTCTTACAAATGAAAGTTTTGGGAGATAAAAATATACACAGTGTTGGTGAAAAAAAACAACTACATTTATTAATTTTTGGAGGTGTGATCTCTCAACTTCCAGATGACAATGGATGTTGAGACAGGGATAGGGAAGGATATGTAAATTAAGCATTTGTGCTGCTAATCTACTTTGTGCCTAATTTATTTTAAAAGCTAATACTATGACTGCAACTTTGTAACAGAAGTCTTTGTATCTTTTAAGTACAGTATTTTAAGAACTATTTTAAATTGTCATCTCCTAAGAAGAATAAATTTGCATTTATAAAGCATGAGACTGCCAGTCTAGGTGGGCTATTCAATGTCTCATCAAAAGAGACAACTACTAAAAGCAAGGGTGTTGTGTTGTATAATAGGGGTTTCTCTTGGGATTGTTTCAGAAAGAAATGATGTTGACAGAGCTGAATGGTATCATTACAGCCATCCTTTCAGTAACAGCATAATGTTTTGCTTCTCTGAGTTGGGTGATAGGTTGCCTTGTGTCTACAGAGACTTGGTTTACTTTCTGTTTACTCTTAGGACTGTTCATTTATTTTGAGCATATGCTGTGGAGGCATTGCCCTTTTTGACAATGGATGTTAGAAAGCTGCCTTGACTTCTTGTAATCTAAAACAAGAAAAAGGAAGCTTATGTGTACATCACTTCTGTACATGCTAAATCCACTTCATCTCACAGTTGTCTGCTAGCAATTGGTATAGCAATTGGAACAGTATGGAGAAAAGGGGGACTTTTTAATGGGGAGTCTTTTTTTGTTTCAATGATGGCCTAGAAACCACCTTAATTTCCCTTGCCTATGCACATAGTAAGATTTATTAGCAGAGAAAGGTTCACATAGAGCTACTTTACTACTGATGAGCAAGAAACACTGAGTAAAACAAGCATGTTAAAAATCACCTTACCTTTATGATGGATTGATGAGAGCTAGATTCAGAGTGATGAAGAAGAGATTTGTTTCAATCTCCTTTCAGATCTTCAGCTTCTCTTCCTCAAAATTTTTACTCATTTTACAGTACACCTCAGGAAACAGAAGTTAACCAAGTGAAAAAGAGGTTGTCTCAATGTGCAATTTATACACACATTGCAGTGTTCACAAATTCTACCACTAATTACTATGTGGTGTATCTGTGTCTTCAGCCTCCTCACCTTTTTATACTAACAGAACATACTTTTCCCTCCTGGAGCAAAGGGGAAAAGTGAGCTCTGCATATGCACACTATGAGTATCAAACTCCAGCTCTAGTGAGAGCAAGTAGCTTTTCATTTTTAGTGTCTTTGTGAACACCTTCTGTTGAGGAAAATTAGAAGCAGTAAGTCTGGCAGTAGGATTTAGGGATTCTCAGCAGGTTCATGTTTGTCAAAGCCCTAGGACAATTTTACCTGAAAATCTGTGCCAGATAAATACATCTCTGAGGAATTTTCCTACAGAATCAGTGGAAAGGACCTGTGCTCAATTAAGTTTTGTATATCTCTAAGGTTGGAAACTCTACAACCTCTCTGGGTAACCTGTTCTAGTGTTTGTTCACGCTCTGTTTAAAAACAGATAAATGAAAATTATGTGTAAATTGAATGTACTTTATTTCATGTCCTTTCAGAGGATACCACTAAGAGTCTGAGTTTGCGTTTCACACTTTCCTTTTAGGTACTTATACACATTGGGGGGCTCAACCTTTTCTCAAGACTAAGCAGTCCCAGAAATATAAATGTGCTGCTACCACATTAAATATTGTGGTCACTGGTAAATTACATCGTGTACCTGGAGGATAACAGCCTATCCTGTGGTGGTTTTTATCTCCTATGATGGCATGAGAGATGTGGAGTTGTATCCTGGAGGTCAAACAGCACACATCCCTCCCCTGTGTTCAGGAGGTTGCTTGGAGTGAGTGTTTGGATCTTCAGCTGAGATATAAATTTCTTAAGATAAAAGGTGGCTTACTTCCAGCATAACAATGATCTTGACTGATTACTTTCCTGATGCCAAAAAAGAGTCTTTTCTTCTGCTCTCGGCAAGAAAACTCATGGAAGGATCCTTGTGACAGCCAAACAAGAAGATAAAACTTGAAAAGGAAGAGCATTTCATTTGTGACAGCATAATGTCTGACTGCTGGACAATATATCAGGCAGCTCCCACAAAAGAATTTTTGGTTTCATGGCCATTGCCTAAAATTTTAAATAGTCTCTCCCCAAAAATGACTGTCCCAAATTTGACTAGGATGGCTGCATTAGCCTAATAATAATGTTTATGGTGAATCAAAAGCAGTCCATGGTATTTTATTGCTTGCTGTATTTCTTTTCCATGTGGGATCATATTCCTGTGGTAGCAGAAATCATGCTGTCCCCTAATGCTTCAAAACATGGAGAACATAATGTCAAGAAAAATTAACTTGATTAAATCCTTTGAACAAGATTGAGAAGGAAGGCAAACAAAAAACCAGCAGCTGAGATAGAAGCTCCATTATTATTTTATGAACTTGGAATTCATACCCAGAAGCTATGTGCACCTGCTTGGACCCTGGTGTTCATGGTGGTCTGGTTTCATTTCAGGAAGGAGCCAAGCAGGTACCTCTTCTCTGGTAACTTTCCTCAGGACAGTTGGTCTTCCAAAGACACCAATGTGGACTGCATAGTTTGCTAAGCAGCTGTTCAAAGCCATAGGCTGTGTAAAATAAGCATTTCAACAAAATAACTTGACTTCTCTCACTGACTTTTTCTTTGCTGTGACAATCAAGGGAAATTATTTTGGATCCACAGTTACCAGATATTCTAGGAAAATGCAGGATTACTGTCTTTCAGGTGACGCTTTAAAATGTGTTATCAATGCCTCAATAGGTAGGGCAGCACTACAAGCTGTCCACTCACTGCATTCAATACACACTTGCTCTCTCGTCTTAGGTGTCTCCAGCTTGATGATATTTTCTCTGCCTTTCAAAGCCTCCAGGCTAACAGCCTGAAGTTCTGTGAGAACTTCACAGATAGCCTGTGGCCTATGGCTGAGGAAAACATAGCTCTGCCTAGGGAAGAGAAGTGGAAAAAAATCCCACCTTCTTCCTTTACCCCTGGCAATATCACACTAGGGAGATGAGTGCCCTCAGGATTGCAACAGAGATGTTCAAGACAAAGATGTGACAAGGACAGAAGTTCTATGCCAAGGTGCTCTGTGTTGTTGCATCTGCTGGGTAGTTACTGCTTGATTAAAACAAACCTTGGCTCTTGGTACAGCTGTGTTGAGAAATTTTACACCTTATCCAAGGTCAGGCATAACTACATCTAAGGAAACATTGTTCAGTAGGACTTGTAGTGGTGTAGTCTTCCACAATCCCTGCCCAGGAAGGAAGAACCCTAAGACATGTTGTTACGCTTTGGCCTCTCCACCTCTTGGGATCCAGAGGCAGCACCCCTGGCTTTGGCACAGAAAGAAGAATCAACAGAGCCAGAGATGAGCAGCAGCAGCAACCCTGTCAGCACATGCAGCCAACAACAATTACAGAGGTTCTTGCTGAACAAGTTTAGCCTGTTGGTACCAGGAACTTCATGCCTAGAAGGTACCATGGTGAAGGCTACCTGGGTGATGGTGCAGTCCCCCTGGGCAGATATCTACGTCACCTCTGTTAACTGCAATGCTGTAAAGGCAACTTGCTGAGAGATTAATGCAAGGTGATATATGATGGCTGAGGAATCTGGTTGAGCACATGATCTTTAATGATTGTTCCCCAGAAATAGGAATTCTTGTTGGAAGGTTAACGTGGAAGGTCTTCTCTATATTAATTCTAGAAAACGTACTTTGCATTATTTATTGTCTGTGTATTTCTGTCATGATAATGATGATTAACCCTGAAGCACACTCACACAATGCACCATGCATAGCTAATAAAGCTACAAAACTGATTTGAATCATGCTACAGTTATTGTGGAATGTCCTACCTGTGTTCTGGGGAGCTTCTAACAAATTAAGAGAAAGCTGTCAATTCCAAGTAATCACAGCAAGGGTGTTGTATCAAGAAGGAGCAAATATCACTAGAATAGCCAGGTGAAGTGCTTGTTTGCAGTGTTTCCTTCAGCAAGTATGTAATTTCTACCCTCTGGTATTTAGTCGGTCTCTAACAGAGGATGGGAGTAATTGTCAATGTGCCTAGTTGAAATTTCTGTGTTGAAATTTCCTCAAAAAAGGAATACCAAATTAATTCCACCAAAAAGAAAATAAAAATACTTGAAGCAAGCAGAGCCTGCTGTAGCAATTATTTCTACCGGCAGCAAGAGGCAGAAATCTGTTTCCAACCTTGCTTCTGAGCCAAGGGCTGGAAGACAGCTATGAAACTAGTTTATTCAACTTTATTATTTTCCACGTTGACAATGAAATGTCTGACTGCCCTCTTTCATGCTTTTAGATCCAGATAATTTTATCTGCAATGACATTTATTACAACATTTTAGGGATTATGGATTGGTCCTTAGCATTCAAATAATTGAAAAAACAAAGTATCTTTGCTTTTAATTTGTTTGTGATTGTAACTCTGCCTGTCTAAATGGGTCAGGTTTTCAACTCCCATTCAAAGGGGAGAGAGCACTTAAACAATCCTTCACATTCAAGAAATAATGTCCTGACATCTTATTCTTCCTAGATTTGGAATGAGGCAGCTAGATTTGTTGGAAAAGAACTACAGTATCCAAAGTGGAAAACCCCCTTAGAAAAGAAGACTGGAGGAGGGATAAAAAAAGTGAGGAACTTTAATTCACCAGTTCAAATGAGAATCCACTAAATATATGGAAAATGCAAGAAAAGAGGGAAAGGTGATATTGGTGATATTGTTGATGAGTAATTAGTTGGTATATGGTCTCAATAGGGGTAGGTTTGCATTGTGTCTCACAAGCAAGGTATTTTGTAAAAAGGATAAGCACTTCGGAAGAGTGGAATATAGGATATATATCAACATATATATGCACACTTCAATTATACATATATAGAGTATAATGTTTAGATTTTGTTTTGATTCTGCATGCACAGAGGTATAAAGAGGCAGACAGGAAGGTTTCCAAGCCTATCCCCTTTTAAAAGTCTTTTCAATTAGTTTTTGCAATTTAGTGTACTGTAGGCAGTTTGAGATTTACATCTGAAGCCAGGTTTGTCAGCCACTTGTTTGTCAGATTAAATAATCTCTTACCACAAGAATTTTATGGAGTAGCACCCCTGACTGCTCGGAACCTAGACTAAGGAGACAATGGCATGTTCACAGCATTTATTTTTATTCAGCCAGCCACAAGCCTAGCCATTTTAACATTATT